GTTAGAAAAACCACAGTTGTTCTGCATGGTCCCAAGAAAGATCATTCGGGCTGCAGTATGGAGATTTGAGTGGAATTGAGGGGTCCCCAAGATTGGAGACAGACAGAGAAACAGGGTAAGCCGTTACAGTGGATCAAACAAGACAATGAAGAATTAAACTAAGGGAATAATAAAGGAGAAGGAGGTAGGAAAGGGAATAGAACAAATTGGTTGTGGAACATGAGCGGAAGGATGAAGTCCAATTAAAGGCTAAGCTGAGAGTATTGGCACCAGTCACTGAAGGAGTAGATTTGAAATGGAAGACAGTGAGTTCTGTTTGGAGCCTATAAATGGAGGGTCTTTTGGAAATGTCCAAGGAGCTCTGGTTACACAGTGGTTAAACCATTTGAATGCTAACCAAAATGTTGGTGATTTGAACCCACCAGCCCCTCTATGGGAGAAAGATGAGGCCATTTGCTATCATAGAGATTTATAGCCTTGGAAGCTCTATGGGGCAGTTCTACTCTGTCCAGTAGGGTCACTATGAGTCAGAATCAACTCAAAGGCAGTGGGTTTGGGAGATCTCTAAGAGAAAATTGAATGTGTGAATTAGATCTCAGGTGAGAGGTCTGGAGGGTCCTGGCCCTCACCCTATCAGGAAAGTCGGCCAGTGAGTTTGCTTTTGCACACATTGTTCTTTGTAAAGTGTGGGGCTACCATGAATAGAAGGAAAGATGAGGTTGTATGAAATTTACAGTCCGCAGAGACGGGGGAAGACCGGGTAACAAGCTTAGTCCTGCTCATGTATTTCTGTACACAAGGAATTCTCCTTTCTTCTTCAGCACTTAGGGGAATCCCCTGTGTCCCTTACCATCAGGGCTGAGTTTAAAATGCCAGCCCACAAAAATCTTGTATTTGAATACCATCCTCGTGGATAAAAAGCATTTCTTAAACATCTTCTTGGTCCTACTGTGTTTTTCATGTTATCCTTGCCAGCCTTAGATAAGAACATTTCAAAAATATGTGCTCATTTCATAGGTTAAAAATACATATATTTATTGTGTTTTATTTTAAATATTTAATTCCTTTTATTATTATGAAGTTGAATATTAATTGATCCTAGAAGAAAATGTACAATTTCTAATGTTATTTTTTTCTCAACTGTTTTCACTTAAATGTGAATTTTCAAAAGAGTTTAAATGCCACAGAGTTAAAGCTTTTTGTTTTTGTTGTTGTTATTTTGCTTTTAAGGCTCTATTTCCCTTTAGTAAATGGAAGCTACTCTGGATTACTTTCATATTTTCATCTTTTATTATATGAATTCCCAGTTTTCTAATGTACATTCTTTGTATTTTATCTTTATAACCTCTGGAATTATAATGTATGCCTTAAAATGCCAGTGGGATATGTTTCATTTTTTATTTGGATTTTCCATGCAGTAGGATTGACGTTTATTTTTGGTTTACAGTTCTGTGAATTAAAACCCAAGTCTGGTTTTGTGTAACCATCACCACAATCAGGCTATAAAACATGTCCATCTCCTCAAAAACCTCTCTTATGCTATCCCTTGATAGTCATATTCTCCCCCACCTGACCCCTGGTAGCCAAGGATTTGTTCTTCGTCACAATAGTTTTGTCCTTTCAGGAATGTCATATAAATAGAAATATACAGTAACTTGGCTTATTTTACGTTTCAGGAATTTCTTCCAAGATGGAACACTTTCCCACACAACTAATTACAGCTGTAATTTTATATTGTGAATGTTGTTGTTGTTATTGTTATGTGCCGTGGAGTCAAACCCGACTCATAGCGACCCCTCTTTGGGTTTCCGAAGCAATATCACTATGGAAGTAGATTGCCCAACCTTCCTTCCGAGGAGTGGCTGGTGGGTTTAAACTGTCAGCCTTCTGGTTGCCAGTCAAGTGCCTTAGGCACTAATGCTACCAGAGCTCCTATATTGTGAATAGTGTCTATCATTGCCACTGTTTACTTCAGTCATAGAGAGTGTATTTCTTACAAAACTGCATGAACTTGTTATATAATAATAGCATTCACTCATTATCTGTTGCATTTGCTACAGATGTTTCCCATTATGTCTTCACCTTCTAAGTTGGGTTGTTTGTTTTTTTCTTAAAAAAAAAAAAAAGTGTTATCATGATTCAAGTGAAGGTTTACAGAACAAATCTGTTTTACCTTTAACACATTTGAATATGAATTCCTATTCATACATATTTTGTTTCATGTCATGGATTGCAGTCCCCTCAATGTAACATCACTCCTCCCACTTCCTCCCTGTGTTATTTGTTTCCACTCCTCCTTCTCTCCTAACCTTCCTGTCTTCTGAACTTTGTCTTTGGGCAAATGCTGCTCTTTTGGTCCCCAGTGGTTGATTGGAGTATTCTAATGGTTCTAAGGAGTGTCTACCTTCCTAGTGTTATTGTTCACCTTGTAGACTTGTCTATTGTTTGGCTGAAAATTGAGCCATTTGCTTTTAATGTGTAAGGCCTTAAAAACAGTAATATCATTTGATCTAATAATATTGTACTATTCTAATAATCTAATCTTATACAATATTTCTAAAGTCTGTGCTATACTAGAAACTCTGGTAATCCTACAAGTTTCTATTTTTTCCTCATGTAGATTTTCCCAGATCCATGTTGAGCTCCAATTGACTGGTTAGGAGTCCAGCCTGGAAATAGAGGGACTGTCACTAAAGGTCAGAGTAGTTGTAAGTCAGACTTTTTGAGTCAATGACCCCTCAACACTTAAATTACATTTAATTGCTTACTTTCATTTGTATTAATGAAATCTTCAACAACAACAACAAAGTCCTCGTATGGTAAATACTCTCATAAATGAGGAGTTCTTGGTGGTTTTTCCTGGTTAGTGGAGAAATCAAGACTTGTCTGAACAACCTACGTAACCCAGAAGAGAAGGGCCTGTCAAAGATGTTCTCTTGGGAGAACTTTCAGCATTTAACCCAGCTCCTGCCCAAGAACTCTAAACTCAGAGGGAGAACACCAGTACCAGTTGCCCTTGACTCGACTCTGACTCATGGTGATCCCATGTATGTCAGAGTAGAACTGTTCTCCATAGGGATTCCGATGGCTGATTTTTCTAAAGTACATCACCAGTCCTTTCTTTGCAGCATCTCTGAGTGGACTTGAACTTCCAACTTTTCAGTTAGTTAGGTGAGTGTTAACCATCCGTGTCATGTAGGGACTTCTTCAGAGGATGAAGGGGAGCCCAAAAGACAAATCCAAAAGTCATCTAGCTGCTGCTTCAACAGTATGGCATATATGGAACATGTTTCAAGACTAAGAACACGAACACCCACCAAATCATAATGTTGACATCACCATCTCCTTTAGTTAAACCTTCCAAACTCTGTAGGCTAGTAGGTCTTTTTCAGCATCCATGAAATTAACTACATGTCAAGAGCTGGTAATTTATCTCTCTATAGGTTCAAAAGCCACCCAAAGAAGGCTGGCTTTTCAGAAGGTTGGAGATCTCTCATGGTTTTGCTGGATTAAGTATTACAGGCTCAAGATTTCTAGTTGTGAGTTTCTGTTATTCTGAATAGGAATCTCAGGGTGGTGCAAACAGTTACTTTTGGCTTCTAACTGAAAGGTTTGAGTTTCAAGTCTACCCAGCGATGCCTCAAGGGACAGACCTGGCAATCTGCTTCCAAAAGGTCATAGCCTTAAAAACCTTATGGAAGTTCTGCTCTGCACATATGGGGCTCTCGTAAATTAGAATCAACATGATGGCAACTGGTTTGGTTTTTGTGGCTTATTATTCTGAATACTTTTTCTCGTTTACACAAAAGTAAAAAAGACAGCTAAGCTAATGCTTTGCTCTTTTTACCTTTGGTTTATGTATGGAAGTATGGGAAACTCATGAGGAAGATATAGTTCAAGAAGAAAGAGGAAGCAAAAGAGCCACTTTTCACTGAATATCGGATGATAGTTGCAAAATAATGGAACCCCATGGAAAAGTAGGTAAAAAAGGAAAGGTATTTAGTGGGGGCATGTGGCCAGAGCCAACAAAGGTAAGGAAAGACATGAAGAATCAGAACACATCAGTTGCCATTGAGTAAATTCTGACTCATGGTGATCACGTGTGTTTTGGAATAGGGTTTTCAGTGGCCATGATCTCTCAGAACTAGACTACCAGATCTTTCTTCTGAGGCAGCTCTGGGTGGGATTCAAATCATCAACCTTTCTATTAGCTGCTGAGCACATCACCATTTGTGCCACCTGGGGACTCCTGGAATTTGTAGCCAATGCTGATAATTTTCATCTTAATCTCTTGAGAAACAAAATTATTAGTTAATTGGATTTTATGTGTTTATCCTTAGATGATAAGCCCTATTTTATAGTGGGCATTGATTTAGGGTTTTTAAAGTGGTTCATATTGTTCAAAGGCTTATGTTTTTTAGTACATAAATGACTGTGAAGAAAGCAGGCCTTTTTGAAAATGTCTAAAGTAAATAAGGATCAGCTGTGAAATGCCTAGAGCCAATTCCATTACACACATAAATAGACCATGCAAGAATTTTGCGGTGTCATATTTAACTGGTGTGACTAAAATAGGCTCACTCTTCCTAAACTCATTTTCTGATTACTGTGTTGTTTCCGGTACACCTATTTGAGCAAAAGGAGAAATAAAAATTTCAATTTGGGAAAAATTGGCCTCCCTCTGCAACTATTAAATGTAATTCCGTTAGATTAAAAGCGGAATCAATTCTTTTGTTAGTCCTCACTAATGAGCTTGACTACAGACCTCCAGAAAGCCTCTTTCCTCAGCAAGAAAGTCTGTGGTTTTGGGTGAGTCCAACCATGTGCTTTGCGGAACGGGAAGAACGGGAAGTAAAAGCATTTGTTCAGATGGATAATTAAACCATTTGAAGGTCTGGCTGTTGGTGATAAAGCGCTAGTTATGTGGGGAGGGAATAGCAAAAGTAACATATCTTATAGCCCCCAAACAGCATTTGTCTTTTCTTGTTTTTTTTCAGGGAGCAGCCATGTCACCATTTCTTCGAATTGGTTTGTCCAACTTTGACTGTGGGTCCTGCCAACCATGTCAGGGAGAAGCTGTTAACCCTTACTGTGCTGTGCTTGTCAAAGAGTATGTTGAATCAGGTAAGCTTGCATTGAGTATTTGAGGTATGGGAGGTAATTAATCCCTGTGAAGTAGGAAGCAGAGCCAGCAGTGACCTTCCTGGACCTACAAGGTCATCTGATTCAACCTAATTTATAGTGCAGGAAACTGGTGCCCAGCCAAGTACCTCAAGGGCACATTGTTTTAGCGGTAGTCTCTGAACCAGAACCAGGTTGCCTGTCTTGTGAGCCACCAGTCATTCTATTTCACTGTATTGTTTTTCCCCTTATAAACAAAGGAAAGAAAAAAATGAGGCTGAGCAAATTAGTGAGTTGTTATTGGGAGGAAAACAACCTAATGAGCTAAAGTAGAATATGGGACCAATATTGTCAAGCCTGGTTATCTGAAGTGATTATAGGTCGATTAAATCTGTAGAACCTTAGGGTCAACTATAAAAATGGCTTGCTGCTTCTTTGGCTAAGCTTAGATGAATGTTGTAAAGAATATGTAACTAGTTATTAGAAACTACGTTTCAGGAAACTTGTTTTTGCATTTACTATTGAGAACCTGGATGAATGAAAGAATAGCCATGTTTTGCCAAATTTAAATATTTGAGATAGTATGTATGTCAGCCATGCAAGATTCCTTGTGTGGGTTTAGAAAATTCAGTAAAATAATTCTATTGTGTCAGAAATCATTTAGACTGGCTTCCATTCTCTTTGATTCATCCCTCTGCATTTTAAGATTCACATGGATTTTCTAAAGAAACATAGAAGAATGTTTATATTCCAAGACTCTCCCAACTTCACTACCTTTCCTCATTTTCCTACATACTTTTTTTTTTTTTTAATTCTGGTAAATATATATGAAACAAAGCTGTGGACATTTCAACAATCTCCACACGTACATTCAGTGACATTAATTATATTCATCATATTGTTCAACCATCACCTTTATCCATTCTCATATTATACCATCACCCTTAACAGAAGATCAGTGTCCCCTAAGCAATGACTTTTCCTTTCCACTCTCTTCTGCCCACTTCTGATAACTACTGATAAATCTTGGTCTCTATACATTTGCCTATTCTAGATATTTCATATAAGTGGGATAATATGATATTTGTCTGTTTGTGACTGATGTTTCACTCAGCATAATGTTTTCAAGATTCATGAAAATTGTAGCATGTATCAGGACTTCATTCCTCTTTATGACTCAGTTATTTTAGCAGATACTTTGTGGAGTACCACAATTACCAGTAAGGAGTTCTGGTGGTGCAGTGCCTAAGGCATTTGACTGCTAACCATCAGGTTGGTTGTTCAAAGCCACCAGCTGCTCTGCAAAAGGAAGATTGGGGCAATCTACTTCCATAAAAATTTGTTGTTGTTGTTGTTATGTGCCGTCGAGTTGGCCCCGACTCATAGCGACCCCTCCTTGGGTTTCCGAGGCAGTATCACTACAGAAGTAGGATTGCCCAACCTTCCTTCCAAGGAGTGGCTGGTGGGTTTGAACCACCAGTCTTCTGGTTAGCAGTCAAGTGCCTTAGGCACTATGCTACCAGAGCTCCCTCCATAAAGATTTACCACCTTGGAAATGCAATGGGGGTCACTATGAGTTGGAATCAACTTGATGGCAGTGGGTTTGGCTTGGTTTTTGGTGTGGTTAGCACTGATGCAGGTTTGAAGTAACTACAGGAGCTATCGTAGTTCCTTTAAATAAAAAGTATTTATGGAGTGCCTATTGAAAGAGTGCTGACCTAGAGCAAAGAGAGGAAAAGCAACACAGAAAAAGTCTCTTCCTTTTAGAGTTTATATTCTAGCAGAGGAAAACAGGCAAGAAACAAAAATATGATAAATGCCATGAAGTAAAGCAAAGCAGGGTAAAGAAGAGAGAGAGATTAGGGGCAGAGCGGGTATATGTTATTTTATATTTAAAAAACAAAAACTATAAAGTTACTATTGAGTCTATTCTAATTCACATTGACTCCACATAGGGTTTTCATAGCTTTTTGAAGCAGATGTTCAGGCCTTTCTTCCAAGGTGCTTCTGGGTGGATTTGAACCTCTACCCTTTCAGATAGCAGCTGAGTGCTTAACCATTTGCATCATCCAGGGACTCTTGTTATTTTATGTAGTGTAGTCCTAGAAAGGATTCTAAGGACGGTCATTTGCAAATCCAAGAACTTGACTCAGTACTGAAGACCTCCAGCTCCATCCTTACAGATCACAATTTCTGAGGTTCAGAATCCTACTGTGTTTACTTTTTTCCTCTTAAAAGACTGTTTGCTCCTTGGATGACTTCACCTTTCCAGGCACTCTGAGTGCATCAAAGCTGAGGACTGTCTGAATCATCTTGATTTTCCTTCTGCACAGATTTCTCTCCTATTTAGTTAGAAGTGAGAATGCCACTTATTCCCAGTCTAAAACCTTTCAAATGTCACAGAAACCTTTGAAGTGTAAAATGCCTGAGTTTTTCAAAGCCTCTTTGACTTAATGGGACTCCTGGATCCACTTCCCTTTACAACCACAAGTCTCACTGACATTTGCCTCCTGAGAGCCTTTTTTTTTTTTCTCCTTTTTCCTTTTTTCGCCCTTGTGTTTGAACTTGGTCTAATCAGCCCTGAGGATCAAGAGAGATCTTGTCAGAAGAGAAGAAAACCTTGTCCAAAAGGTTAGCCTGTGGAGTTTTAAGAGGTTTGGAGATTTTTGTTTTGAGTTTTGTTCAAAAAAAAATTGCTCTGAACATTGCAATTCAAGTATCGCTTCCTTAGAATTTAAACACATTTCAGTCTTCGGAGTGTGAGCTATGTATTCCATGATGAGTCAAGAAAGAGGACAAGTAGGATGTAGCACTATGAATCTGTGAGCCTTTGAAAAAGGCAAAACTCACTGTCAGTAGACAGGATATTGAGCACTGATCTTTTTAGGTGACTACAAACCTAATGAATGAAAGGATTAAAAAAATGCCTTGAGTGGTTTTTTTGTTTTTGTTTTTGTTTTTTAACTTTTTGTTGTGATTTGGGTGAGAGTTGAGGGGGAGATTTTTGTTCTTTGACTGGGGCATGGTGGTTATAACATAATAGAAGGAATTATGAGGAGAGGCTGTAAGTCTGAGGAAGTAAATGTTATTATGGCCATTATTTTAGGTCATTTTTTCTTAGGCTATGAAAAACTGTTATTGATTTATGATTATTAAAGTAATATTGCCATCAATACTTCTTTTAAAAAGCCCAACTTCTGAACATTTTTTTTTATCAAACCAAAAAATCCTTTCTCTTCTTATTCCACTTTTAACCATGTCATGTAACTTGCACCTCTAATAGTCAACTTTACCTAAAATTTGAAAGTTCAACTTATTCAACTTCTTGTATATTCCCAAAATATAAATTTAACAGGCTAAATGCTAAATTGACCAAAGATGCAATCAAGATATATTGATAGTTATTAGTGATTAGAATGCAAATTTGGAAACAAAGAAGAATCATCAGTACTTGGGAAATATGGCTTTGGTGATAGAAATGATGTCAGAGATCTCATGATAGAATTTTGCAAGACCAACAACTCATTCATCACAAATACCTTTTTGCAACAACATAAATGGCAAGTGTACATGTGGATCTCACCAGATGGAATCTACAGAAATCAGATTGACTACATCTGTGGAAAGAGGTGATGGAGAAGGTCAATATCATCAGTCAAAAAAAAAAAGGCCAGGAGCTGACTGTGGAACAGACCATCAATTGTTCATGCAAGTTCAAGTTGAAGATAAAGAAAATTAAAATAAGTCCATGAGAGCTGAAATGCAACCTTGAGAATATCCCACCTCAATTTAGAGACCATCTGAAGAATAGATGTGATGCATTGGACACCAGATCAGATGGGTTGTGGGATGACATCAAGATAGATGAAGAAAGCAAACAGTCATTAAAAAGACAGAAAAGGAAGAAAAGACCAAAATGGATGTCAAAAGAGACTCTGAAACTTGCTCTTGAATGGAGAGTAGCTAAAGCAAATGGAAGAAATGATGAAATAAAAGAACCAAACAGAAGATTTTAAAAGGCAGCTTGAGAAGACAGGGTAAAGTATTGCAACGAAATGAGCAAAGACCTGTCATAAGAAAACCAAAAGGGAAGAACACACTTGGCATTTCTCAAGGTGAAAGAAATGAAGAAAAATTCAAGCCTGGAGTTACAGTATTGAAGGATTTTATGGGCAAAATGGAGCTCTGGTGGCACAGTGCCTAAGGCATTTGACTGTTAACCAGAAGCCTAACAGTTCAAACCCACCAGCCACTCCTCAGAAGGAAGATTGGGCAATCTACTTCTGTAGTGATACCACCTCAGAAACCCAAGGAGGAGTCACTATGAGTCGGATCTGACTCGATGGCAGGGAATTTGTTTTTTTCTTTTTTGTTATAGGCAAAATGTTGAATAATGCAGAAAGCATCAAAAGAAGATGGAAGGAATACAGAGTCAAAAAGAATTGTATCAAAAACAATTGATCAACGTCCAACTATTTCAGGGGGTTGCATGTGATCAAGAACCATGGTGCTGAAGGAAGAAGTCAAAACTGCACTGAAGGAATTGTCAAAATACAAGGCTCCAGGAATTGATGGAATACCCATTAAGGAATTTCAACAAACAGATGCAGTGCTGGAAGTGGTTACTCATTTATACCAAGAAATATAGAAGACAGCTACCTGGCCAATTGACAGGAAGATATCCATATTTGTGCCTATTCCAAAGAAAGGTGATCCAACAGAATGTGGAAATTATCAAACCATATCATTAATATCATACACAAGTAAAATATTGCTGAAGATAATTCAAAAATGGTTGTAATAGTATATTAATGAGAAACTTCTAGAAATGCAAGCTGGTTCCAGAGGAGGACAAGGAATGAGGGATATTGTTGCTGATGTCAGATGGATGTTGGCTGAAAGTAAAGAAACCAGAAAGATGTCTAACTGTGTTTTATTGCCTATGCAAACACATTTGACTGTGTGGATCATAACAAATTACGGACAACATTGAGAAAGAAGAATGAGGAATGTGTACATAAATGAAGAGGTTGTCATTTGAACAAAACAAGGAGACAGTACATGGTTTAAAATTAGGAAGGGAGTGTGTCAAGGTTGTGTCCTCTCACTGTACTTATTTAATCTGTATGCTGAGCAAATAATCTGAGAAGCTGGACTATATGAAGAAGAACATGGCATCAGGAATGGAGGAAGAACCATTTATAACTTGCATTATGTAGAAGACATAACCTTGCTTGCTGAAAGTGAAGAGGACTTGAAACACTGATGAAGATCAAAGGCTAATCTTCAGTGTGGATTATACTTCAACATTAAGAAAACAAAAATCCTCACAACTGGACCCATAAGCAACATCATGATAAATGAAGAAATGATTGAAGTTGTCAGCGATTTCATTTCACTTGGATCCACAATCAACACCCCCAGAAGCAGCAGTCTCTTGAAGTCATATTGCACTGGGCAAATCTGCTGCAAAAGACCTCTTTATAGTGTTGAAGAGCAAAGATGTCACTTTAAAGAGTAAGGTGCACTGAACTTTAAAGACTAAGGTGCACCGAACCCAAGCCAAGGTATTTTCAATAGCCTCATATGCATGCAAAAGTTGGACAATGACTAAGGAAGATTGGAAAAGAGTTGATGCCTTTGAATTGTGGTGCTGGCAGACAGTATTGAAAATAACATGGCTGCCAGAAGAATGAACAAATCTGTCCTGGAAGAAGTACAGCCAGATGCCCCTTAGAAGTGAGAATGGCCAGACTTGGTCTCACCTACTTCAGTCCTGTTGTCAGAAGGGACCATTCCCTGAAGAAGGATATCATGCTTGGCAAAGTAGAGGGTCAGCGAAGACGGGGGATATCCTCAACAAGATGGATTGACACGGTGGCTACAATCATGGGCTCAAGTTTAGCAAGGATTGTGAGGATGGTGCAGGAGTGGGCAGTACAGGGTTGCTATGAGTGGGAGCTGACTTGAGGGCACCTAACAACAACAAATGCTTATTCTGTTTTAGCTTTGTGCTAGGTAGAGGACAGGGGAGTGGCAGGGAAAAGGACAAGTGTCTCTGTGCCATCAGGGGTTAAACCAAAAAAATAGTTGCCAGCAAGTCATCAATGGACTCATGGCAATCAATGTGTGTCAGAGTAGAGCTGTGCTCCATAGGGTTTTCAATGGCTGATTTTTCAGAAGCAGTTCACCAGGCCTTTCTTCTGAGGGCCTCTGTGTGGACTCCAACCTCTAACCTTACAGTTAGCAGTGCAGTCTGCTTTATTTCCCTGCTTTAAGCACATTCCTCCCTTTTACTTTTTCAACACATCTAAATTTCTAAATCTGCTTCTTAATGGACTTCTTATCATAAGAAACACACTCAAATACAGCTGCATTTTCCTGCTTTGAAATGGTTAAAGAATAAATAGCAGAGAAAATCTAATGTGGATGAAAGATATGACTAACTACTCATTAGTAAGCTCTTTCTTAGTCACTGGTAGCCTCTGGGAAGGTTTCTCTTAAAATGATAATCCTGCCTGTGTTTCTTGTTACTAACCATTCCTGAAGCCTCCTAACTGCCCAGCTTTCCTTACATGCAGGTCTGTAGCTCTGTTTGCTAACTAGATTGGTTAATGCCATCGTCAGTCTGAGTTGCTTGTCAGTTTTGGGGTGCATGGAATATCTAAAATATGCCATGCTCATTACTGTAGATGGAAAAGGAAACCATTGCTCATTATGCTTTAGAAGTTAGTGCTCTTTAGTGTGTTTTTGTCAAAAGGAAAAATTGATAGTATCTTTTTGGAAGAGCAGTTATTATAAACTCCAGTTTATGCCACTGTGTCTTTAAGATGAAGCACAGTAGTTTTGTATTGACCATTCCCTACCAGATGACAGTGAAGTTAACCAGTCATATGATCCACCCTTCACAGATTAACAAAGAAGGACCTCAAAAGGCATGAAAGTTTCAAACATGTAAAGAATGGGGTCTGTGTTACCATGCTCTATAACATACATCACACTTTTTTTTTTTTTTAATTGTGATTTAGGTGAAAATTTACAGAGAAAATTCACTTTCCATCCAGCAGTTCACATACACTTTGTCTCATGACATTGACTACAATTTACCCCAATGCAACAGCTCCCCTCCCATTTCCTCCCAATAGTTACCTCTTCCCTGTGTCCATCCCTTCATGCACTCCTGCCCCCTGCGCTGTCTCCCTGTGCATAAACGGCTCTCCTTTCTCCCATGATTGATCTCTCCAAGGAGTGTATGTACCTCAGGTAAATGTTCAACTCATATGCCTGTCTTTTGTTTGGCTGGAAGCTACAGGTGTGGGTTCAATTCCGGACATGAAGGGCAGCTAGGGACCATCGTCTCAGGTTCCAGCAGGCTCTATCAGACCAGCAGACCTGGTCCCCCTTTTGTTCCCCCCAAATGAATTTGACTTTTGTTCCACATTGTTCTCCCTCTCTATCCTGGATCTCCTACACAGATCCTCATCTGAGTGGTTGACAGTGGTAGCCAGGCACTGTTTAGTTCTTTTGGTCTCATAGTTGTATAGGCTGTGGATTGCATGGTGTACCAGTCTCTAGGACTAATTGTTTCCATGCATCTTTGGCTTTCTTCATTCTTCTTTGCTGTGGATGAGGAGAGACCCATCATTGCATCTAGATGGCTGCTTGTAAGCTTTTAAGAATCCCAGTCAGTACTTGCCAAAGTAGGAGGTGAAACAATGTTTTGTGTAGTATGTTATGTCAATTGAGCTTGATGTCCCCTGCAACTATGGTCCCAAGCCCACTGGTTCAAGTACGCTCCCTCTGCATATTTAGCTGTGACCAAGAAGTGACTACACCTGGAATTCTATTCATTTCCTTTGGTGTTCACACCCAAGGTGAAGTAATTGTTGAATAAGAAAAAAATATGACCAGTTGAAGTCAGCTTTCAAGATTTTTGTTGCCTAAATTATCCAGATCAACTGTTAAAATTCACTCAGTTATCCTGCATCTAGACCTTGAACTTTCTTATTCTCCTCTATATTGTCTCTGATCATTTTATGTGTTATTTTTGTCTTCCCAACAGAATTATCTACTGTTGTTGTTGTTGTTAGGTGCTGTAGAGTCCTCTCCGACTCATAGCAACCCCATGTAACAGCAGAATGAAATACTTCCAGGTCCTGTGCAAGCCTCACAATCCTTGCTGTATCTGAACCCATCATTGTAGCCACTGTGGCCTTTCCCTCTTTCGTTGACCCTCCATTTTACCAAGCATTATATCCTTCTCCAGGGAATGGTCCCTTCTGACAACATAACCAAAGTAGGTGAAACCAAGTCTGGCCATTCTCGCTTCCAATGAGCATTCCGGCTGTACTTCCTCCAGGACAGATTTGTTAGTTCTTTTAGAAGCCCATGGTAGTTTCAGCATTCTTTGTCAACACCACAACTCAAAAGCATCAACTCTTCTTCTGTCTTTGTTATTCATTGTCCGAATTATCTACTGAGTAGACCTAATCCTCTAGCAAGTAGAGGGAATGATTACTGTTGTTGTTTTGAACTGGATTATTGTCCAAAGCTGGCGAAAGAAGTAATGAGAAAATGTCTTTCTGTTCACAGAGAATGGGCAGATGTATGTTCAGAAAAAGCCAACCATGTACCCACCCTGGGACAGTACTTTTGATGCCCATATCAACAAGGGGAGAGTAATGCAAATCATTGTGAAGGGCAAAAATGTGGACCTGATATCTGAAACTACTGTAGAGCTCTACTCCCTGGCTGAGAGATGCAGGAAGAACAATGGGAAGACAGAAATATGGGTAAATATCTGAACTTTATTTAAAGTGTATGTAGCATTCAATGATGAGCACTATGTTTGCTGAAGACTCACTCAAAACTTCAGTGTCATCCTAAAGGTAAGCTCACACTGGTCTTGAATAAACACTCCCTACCACTTACTCATTGGTGATTTGCTAATGACAATGATTACTCATTATGAACTAAGAATGTATTGACATGTTCAGATTTCTTTGATTCTTATATAAGGTGAAGAATGTCTCTTAGGCTATGAAAAACTGTTATTGATTTATAACTTTTAAAGTGAGCTTGGAAAATATCACAAATTTCCCCTAACCTGGGAATTTAACTGTTAACTACTAATCGAGAAATCAGAACATGAGAGAGAGCAAAGATCTATTTAATACTGAGTCTTCTCTCCCTGCACTTTCTCAATCCCTGTAATTCTTTTTCAGCCTTAGTGTGTTCACTTAGGTTACTTTGTACAATAAGTTCTTCACACACAATTCATTTTAGCACACCACGTTTTTTTTTTTTTTTTAATATCCAGATATTTAATATCCAGATAATAATATCCAGATGTTTTGATAGCAAGTGTTTTAAAATGTTAAAGGGAAGAGCAAAATATGAAAGCATCAGAATTTCTAATGAAAATTCCTGGGGCACAAAATGAAAGAAAATGTACCAGTAAAAAACTTCTTTTAAGGTGGGGACCAGGTTTGTTGGTCCAATAGAGCCTGGTGAAACCACTGAGACTATGGCCCCTAGCTGCCCTTCAGGTCTGGGATTGAACCCACACCTGTGGTTTCCAGCCAAACAAAGAACAGGCAAGTGAGTTAAACATTTACCTCAAGTAGACACACACCCTGGAGAGAA